TGCAGGCTCTTGTGGGGGTGGGGAGACGCCCTGGCCTGGGAGATGCTGTTAGCAACAGACTGGTAATTGCCTCCCCGGGTGGGGAAGCCTGCCCCTTCCCTGCCTGGGCTGCAGTGGTGCGGTCTGTTGCCTGGGAGACAGATAACACTCCCTGCAGGCCCGGCTGCACTGAGGTGTTGGCGAGCCAGGCCAGGAAAGCAGGTCCTGGGTGGCCCAGGGCCCTTCTCCAAAGATGGAGAGATAAACGGAGACTCTCGGGTGAGGGTGAGTGGGGCGAGGTAGGCGGAGAGGGAGGAGGCCCAGACGCTGGGCGCTGCGGTACCCCAGAAAGATTGCGGGAGCCCGGGGTCTCAACATCTGCTCCCTACACACCAGCGCTGGGGCACAAGGCTGGGCCAGGAAGAACAGGCTGCCCGGAGGGACATGGCCACCAGATAGCGGCCGGAAGGGTGCAGCAGGAGGGAACGCGGGGCAGCAAGCCCCAGAGACAAGGGGCATTTGTAGAAGCAGATGCCACACTGGCACAGAGAGTATAAACTGACAAGGTGGGAGCAGGTGGGGTGCCAGGTGCTGTGGCAGTAGAGGCCACGGGCGGTGTGGAGGCTGGCAGGGATCAGGGCCTGGAGGAGCGACGGGCCCCAAGCGAGGGCTCCACCCAGTTCTCACGGCCACAGCAGGGCGCTGAACAGTGGCAAGATGAACCCTCTGCTCGCTAGAAAAATCACTGTGGCAGCACAATGCAGAATGGCTTGAGCGGGACGAGACTGGAGGCTCTTTGGTGGTTAAACACACACAGCCGGTGGTGGCTTTATTCTGGAAATGTTCAGGGAACGTATGTAGCACACCGGGTGTTGGCTGGGGTTCCCTTTGACCAAGATGCTGCCTCCCATGGCCAGTCAACTCACCCCCTTGCGCCAGGGCCACCCCCACACCCCCCTCCTCTGCCCTCAGGCTGGCCCCAACTTGAGGGAACTTATTCAATAGCTTCGCCTTGAGCAGCTGCTAATTGCAGGCACCGTTTTACCCAAGAGGATCCCAGCAGTGAAGGGCTGTGTCCCCGCCATGAGGATTCCAGCTAGTGGGCTCTTGGCAGGGTGGGGGTGTGAGAGGCGAGACAGACCTCCAGTAAGTTGAGGTGAATGTCAGGTGATGCGGTGTCCCATGGAGAAAACGACCTGGGGGATGGGGGGCCTCTACTTGCAATGGGCATTGGAAAAGAGGGGGAGAAGCAGCACCCACGGGGGTCCCCTCCCCAGTGCCAGCTCTTTCTGCTGCCAGTGGACACGCTGAGTGTCCACTGGATGGCTTGAGCGTCACGTGCTGAAGGGCTTGCGGATGCAAAACACAGCTGGTGCTGTTCTACAGTTCTCTCATGCTTTGGGGCTTGACCCCCCTTTCACACCCTCATTGTCTTCTGAGCCCACGCTGCTGAGGTCACCCAGAAGGCGTTTTCACCCTCTCTGCTCTGCAGATGCAGAAACCCCAGACCCGCCGTTTGCTCTTCCTAGCACACCACGTCACCTTGTCAGTTTTCTGCAGCCTGAATCCTCCTCCGCCCCCCCAAATCTCCCCAGAATCCAGTGGTACTGGCCTCTGAATTCACTGTGTTAATCGCTCACTGGAGGGGGAACCAAGACACCACGGGCCCTGGGGCTCAGTGCTGCTTCCCCAGTCTGTCTCCGGAGTCTCCCAGCAGAACAGAAGAGTGAAGCCAGCTGGGCTTTCACCGCCACCTGCCAGGATGCTCCCCGCAAACAAAGCGTTGTCCAAATACAGGACTACAGAGCCACGAGAGAAAAGCAAGTCTCCCAGTCGCCACCACTGGGCTGCTGCCTTCAGGGTTTCCTAGGAACACACGCTCACATCGGTGCGGGCTGCAGCTCCGTTTGGAGCTTCTCACTCGCCATGCCTCAGAGTTTAGCTGACTTCTGTTGGCAGGGAAAAAGAAAGCAGGTACCAAGGGAGTAAGGGAGAGGTTCTGCCGGAGCCCAGAGCAGAAGGGGAGGTCAGCCCCCCAGTAGCTAGGCTCAGTAATTAGAGCCGCGGGAACCAAGGCAGTTTCTCAGCCTGCTCTCACCTCTCTTCGTTAAAATATTTCCCGCCAGTCTCTGCTCGTGGCAATTACAGCCTTAACGGGAGAGAGACACCAGTTTCTCAAAATCACGAATGAATGTGTCAGAAATGAAGAGTTCCTGGGGAAGGAGCGCCACTCTGGGGAAAGCTTGCATAACACGAAGGAGCCTGAAATAGAGGGATGCGCTGAGGAGACACTGGAGAGAGCGACTTGAGCGGAAGTGTCAAGGGTGCCTGGGTCGGGGCCTCCAGGGGAGAAGGCTGTCGGGACCCAGGCAGCACCTGTGCTTACAAACACTGTGCACCATCCTGTTGGCCGGAAGGAGAAGGCCGAGGCCTGCAGGAGAGCCGTGGTGAAGGGGAGGTGGGTGAGGGGGTGCGTGGGAGGGGCCGCCAGGCCCTGTGAGCTTCCAGGGCCCTGTGGGCGCTTGGCCTCCACCCTAGACACGAAGGAAAGTCTTTGGGCAGCTTGAAGCAGCCGGGAGGAGAGAGTCTGGATTTGTGTGTATGTGTGTTTTTTAAAGATTTATTTATTTATGCACACAAGGCCAAAGGTGAAAGGATTCACCAGAGACAGAGTGGGGAGCAGAACAGGCAGATGGACTGGAAAACATTGCTGAGGGGAGCAGCGGCTGCCACACCCTGTGGGTCACCTCCCTGGCTGGGGCTCGAACTCATGCTGTGCAGTGGCTGCGGACAGCTTCATTGTGCTGCGCTTTAACCCGTTGTACCACCAGGGAGGGCCCTGGATTTGTGTTTTTAAAAGATTCCCCGGGCTTCTCCGAGAACAGGCTTGGTGGAAGACGGTGGCGATGGAGTTGAGGGTCTATGCAAGCATCCACATTAGAGACGATGTGGCCTGCATGGGAGAGATGTGACAGCTGAGATGAATGGAGAGACTTGAGAAAGGTAAAATGAACAAGCAGGGAAGATTGGATATGGGGAATGAGGTGCCAAGATTAATTCCTGAGGTTTCTGACCCAAGAGTGAACAGGTGGTGGCTTTTGGCTCTCAGCTAGAGAACAGTGAAAAGAAGACAGGCTTGGAGGGAACATGACTCAGGCCTACGCACCGTAGCCCAGGTGGCAATACCCAGTGTAGGTGAGTCCGCCGGCCTGGAGTCCGCGCGGCCTGGGCTTTGGCCATTCAGCTTGGAGCCACTGATGGATACCTGGTTCTTGAAGCCACGAGCAAGGGTAAGTTGCCTGGGGAGAGAGAAGAAGTGACAAGAGCGGAGAACATGGGAGTCGTCCCTGCGGAGCACCAACGTACATCACAGGTGCAGGAGGAGACGCCTCAGGGGACTGAGTGGGCAGGCAGCAGCCCGGGAGAGTGGCCCCAAGGAGCCCCAAGGAGCCCCAGCAGCGGAGACCTCGCCCCCACTGTTCTCTAACGATGCTCTTTTCCTGCTTCTGAATGTCCGTGAAGCCCCGCAGCCCGGAGGGTGAATCGAGAGGCCCGTCTCGGATACATGTCTCCCCCAGTTCAATCAGATGTGACTAGCAGGCTGCGGGGCTCCCCACTTGAGAGAAGATACAGTCTCGGAGGAAGGAACTTGGCCTTTTCTCAGTAGTTTCCATCTCCCTCCTCCTCAGACTCTTTGGTCACTCGCGGTCCTCTCTGCCTAGCCCAGCGTTCCCCCCACACAGCACGGCCGCTTCCATGTCATCCTCTAAGAAGGCCCAGGCTCACCACTTGCCTCGGCCTCTCCTGATCACTGTCCATCATCGAGTCCTGTTTCCTCCTTCGGTTGCACTTTCTACACCCTGTAATTACCATATGGAAGTCTTTCATGTCGGGCTCCCTCCCAAAACATAAGCTCTGTGAGGACAAGGACAAAGTCTAGTCCAGTGGTTCTCAACTGGAGCCAAAGGACCTGTCTGGAGATATTTGGGGTCGTCACTGCTTGGAGAGGGGCAGGAGAGCAACTGGCATCTCGTAAGTAAATAGCCGACGAAGCGCAGGTCAGCTCCCCAGATGAAGAGTTATTTGGTCCGAATGTCCAAGTGACGCGGCTGAGATAACCCTTGGTGTCTTGTTCCGCATTCTACCCTCAGCGCCTTGCACAAGTCTGACACCTCGTCGGTGTTCAATTAATTAAATGAAGAATTGAGCTGGCCATAAACACCCCCCAAAGCTGTAGTCTGTATGCCGCACTTACCCTTCTCTTCTCTGGTATTCTTGTCCCCCCACCCCCCAGGAAAATATCCACTGGGTGTTTTTATAATGGCTACACAAGCGAGTCACGTCCTCCGTAGCCAAGAGAAGCATCTGGAAGATCACTGGTAAGGTCTCTGATTTTTCAAGTGAAAATGTGGTTTTGCTTGTGAGAGTTTGGAAAATACCTGCCTGGAAGTGAGACAGGGTGAAAGGTCATCACACGGCTAGACAGACCAGGGCTCCTTATTTGACCGCCCAAACAGTAGGCACGGCAGCCCCTGCTGGGTGCCAGGGGGCTTGGATGGTGGGCCTGGTGTGAGGGCGCTCATCTGGGAAGCCCCTTCTCCTAAATCATACGCAGTGTTGTAAACCAGTGGTACCTCAATAAAAACCAAAAATAC